TATGTATGTATGTATGTATGTATGTATGTATGTATGTATGTATGTATGTATGTATGTATGTATGTGTATGGATGTATGTATGTATGTATGTATGTATGTGTGTGTGTGTGTGTGTGTGTGTGTAAAGGTGCTTTAAACTCTTCCCACACTCTTGCAATATTCTAACCAATGTTTCTAAACTCTAAACTCTCTAATGTCATGATTTCAGCTCCCTGTCTCCTCTGCTCTTTGCCACCTGCAAACGCTCTTGGCCACGCCCATTTCTGGAGAACAGCTGATCAGCTGCAGGAGGAAGCTTATCCTGCAGTGTGGGCTGCACAGAGGTGCAGGAGGTGCTAAATAATTTAAAATGAGTTATTTTAAATAAAAATTCCATGTCAATCATGTGGCTCATCCATCAGTCAGTCAATTGTGTGTCATGTCCAATCTTAGTTTGAAAAACCGCAATAGAATGAGTTTGCAATAAATGAGTTTGCGATAAATGAGCCACGAAGTAGTGAGGGACTACTGTGCACAAAATATGTAAATGTTAGCATTCTTTTTATAAAATAGACACATTAACTGCTGTGAATGTAGTGAGACAGGAGTTGTTTGCCCTGCTCAGACCAGCCATGAGCTCGTCTTCAATCCAGTCAGAATTGAGGTCATTCAAAGAGTTTTCTGCAACAGGTAAGATAATAATTGCTTAAGTTTTTACATAGAACTATTCTTCAAAAGATTTAAAATGTAGCACAAGTTAGTTTTAACAGGTTGCTTTGCATGTACTTGTCAAGTGTTTAATTGTTTTGTTTTGACATTTTGCTTTAATTTGTCCTTTCTTTTCTTGATGTACTGGTTTAATGCTTTTCTTTAAAAAAATTTAAAAAAAGGTCAAGTTGACATACCGGTGAATAGACTGCTTGCTTGGTCAAAGTAAGAGTAAATCCTCTAAAATATATAGTATACCATAGGACTCTATAGGTATGAATAGCACTGACAGACAGTGTTTGATGTAATTTACAGATTTGTTGTTCCCTAATCAGAGTTAACAAAGTGTGTTCTCAGGTCATGGAGTAAATCACATCTCTGCTACGAGCGGCGCTGTTTGTGTGTTGCTGTAAAGAATCCCTGTATTTACTGCCAGTGATTATGAAGTGCTGCATCTGTCAGTATAAGTGACAAAGTCTGAATGGAGAATGTGTGTGTGTGTGTGTGTGTGTGCCACGCTGATGACTCATGAATGCTTAATCTTCATCAGTCTGGTAGTGACATCGCACCATGAGGTTATGTTACTGAATTAGCGTTCAATAGCAATCGACCACAGAGCGCAAGGGCAGCTTGGCAGAGAAAGCCAGGCTGCGTGTGAGCATGAGAAAGTCAAGGTGATGGATGAAGGAATTAGAAGAAAAGGGAGAAGGCAAAATGACAAGAATCGTCTCCAGATGATTGCGTCGGCTCCTCTGTCATACTTTAATCACTTTCGACATCTGAATGATGTGGTTTACTTCCTGTGTTCATTTGAGAAAGCCACAATGCATCTGAGAGTGACGTTCTCCAGCCAGAATCAGACTGATGAGGACTCTCAAAGTTACTGACAATTTCCCTCTTTCTGCTCGTCCTTCTTATCCAAGATCTGTTTATTGGTATGAGAATAAATGATGCATTTATGCGTAAACGTCTTCTTCATCTTGAGGGAGACATTCATATGTATCACAACCAGATTTAGTTTATAAATTATTCTGGATCATCCACCTCTTCACATTTATAAACAAAACAGACAAGTCTCAGGAATAATATCACGTAGTTCATATTATGCACAATATTATCGGCATGGTATCAGTATCGGCTGATATTAGCGATAAAGTTAAATATCGCATATCGGTCAAAAATCCAATATTGTGCATCCCTAGTTCGTATATCAGTCAGAGTTCTTTTGATGAGGAATTTACATTCTCTTTTGTCTTTTGAGAACCAGACCAGTGTTTTATAGCTTAGATTTTAGGGATACATTGCTGCTAAAATGTATGTTCGAACAAAATAATAAAAAGGTCTAGCGCTCCTTAAAAAAATACGCCGTACCTGCTGCTTTTCATGCAAGAGTTTAAAACTGAGATCATCTTATTCAAAAGAAAATGTTTTTGCTTTTTTGGTTAAAACTTGAAATTAAGATTATGCACAATTTTGTACTTGCATGCAAGTTCTTGCTTGATTTATTAATGCTTGAAGTATAAATGACTCCAAGCTACGCCCATGCCAAGTTTTAGCAACATATTTGCAAAACTTTCTGAGCTGTAGTCATTATTTGTCTGCTAATATCAACTAATGATAGCTGCCATCTTAATTCAGATCTTTCTTCAAAAACTCATTAGTGGCTGGTGTACATCTAATGATTGGTTTTTGGGTTTTAATAATTATGTTCATAAAATATTATGTAACATTGCAGACAAGCACAGGCACACACAAATATAATTCCACTATCACCTCCTTTCATCAGAGAGCAATAAACATAATGTTCTAACTGCAGGCGTACTGATGTTCTGTGGTAGATCAAAAATCCAAATCTTATTAATAATGTCAGTGTTTCAATTTGCTCCATGTTGATGAAGTGGGTTAAATACAAAACCAAACATCTAGACATAATATGAATCCTATGCACACTGATTTTCAGCAGGATTTTAGTTTATTTATGCCAAAAAAAGTAATAAAATAGCACAGAGTTGACACTAAGCATACTAAAAACTGCTGCTATGTGACTGTGCTTTGATGTAGATTATTCCCACAAAGTGAAATTTAAATAAAATTTGAATAAAACGTGTTAATGTCTGTTTGTGAAGTTTGAAGATAGAGGCTACCAGATAATATGAAATTTGAAAATACTTTTCTGTACAGCTCCCACAGACAGTAAACTACAACAAGTAGGACAAAAAAAATACAGTAATTAAGAAACAGTATATGCTTTTTTAATACAGCAGATCTGTTTAGGAGTACAATGAAGGTCAATGCAAGTTCATCAACACAAATATCAAATTTTCCGGCCTGTAAGTCTCACCTTTTTGCCTAATTTGCATACCCTGCGACTTATACGCTAAAGCAACTATTTTGTTTTTTCCCCACATTAATAAACCGATTATTGGCTGAGATATGACTGTTTTCATTCATTCTGACTGAAAATATTGAACACTACCATTTTCAGCTGCTAGATGGCACTCGAGGTGTATGGCATGCCGTTGTGTTATGTAACAGGTAAAAGTGACTATTAATGACACCATCACCATCTTCGCCACCTTCGTCCAGCTCCGGGATCATGCGTGGAGGAACCGTCAAATCAGCTTCATTTCGCTGTGCCGCCCCGGTGAAATGCAGCTAATTTGACCATTGAAGTTCATTTATTAAGTAAAAGTTCAACTGAGACACACCTTTACCATAATGCCAAGCAAACAAATAATTGTTTTAGGTGCTTATCTTGTTAAATTTTGAAGAAATGTGCAGCGTTCCTACTTCCTGATTTCCTCCCTCTGCGCACTCCCGAAGCACCGAGGCAGCGAATACTTTTGAAATGCAGCTGATTTTAGCATTAAAGTGCATTTCTTAAGGAAATGTTCAACTGAGACACACCTGTACTATAATTTTGAGCAAACAAATAATTGTTTTTAGGTGGTTATCTTGTTAAATTTCAAAGAAATGCACAGCGAGTCATCCCTCTACACGCTCCTGCTTCCGTGAATCAGCTTTTGAAATGCAGCTGATTTGACCGTCAAAGTGCATTTATTAAGGAAAAGTTAGACTGAGACACGTCTTTACTATAATTTTGAGCAATCTTATAATTGTTTTTAAGTGTTAATCTTGTTAAATTCTTGTTAAAGTCCTCCCGTGCACGCTCCCACAGCCGCTGTTTGGCAGCCAATCGATTTTTAGCATAACACCGGCCCACATTTCCGGGTTGTCGGTGATGACACGTAACAAACATGACATGTCAGCGGTTACGCATAATAGATGCAACTTATACGGTAAAGCGACTTGTTTATGTTTTTTCCCATTTTATTAGACATATTTGGACTGATGCGACTTATACGGCGGTGCAATGTGTATGGCGGAAAATACGGTACTTGTCATCCTAAAATTAGCAGAGTTTCTTCTTGTTTTATTTTCTCACATGCTTGTCAACCACCGCTACATATAAGTCATATTTGCATTTCATCTATGAATGAATGGATAGTTTGTTCGCTATTAGTGTTGGACCCTTTTGTTACTTTTCAAATGGGAAAACATTTCCTCATCCAAGCTGTTGAAAGCAACAAGAAATGTCTCCGGATTGAAATTCTTGCTGAGCTTGTTTCATACCAGACATCCTTACGCCTCTCACTTAATAAAGTGTTATCAAGTAAAATAAACATTAAATAAATAAATTTAATTTAAAAAAATGTGCTTGATCTTTTTATTTTAGGTACTACGACTGAAAAATAGTAAAAAGTTGAAAAAAATGTGTTTTTGTTTGTCTAGATTCTACTGGGACCTGTTGATGTTGGTGCTGATGATGGGCAACTTGATCGTCCTGCCAGTGGGGATCACATTCTTTCGAGATGAGAATACTCCTTCATGGATCATCTTCAACGTGGTCTCTGACACCCTCTTCATGGTTGACCTGGTTCTCAACTTCAGAACCGGCATCGTGAAGGAAGACAGCACCGAGATATTGCTTGACCCCAAGTCAGTATGAGCACTTCAGTGTGTGTTGAGCCTAAATGTGAAGAACTGGAGTTGTTTTGTCATTTAGGGTGTCGGCACAATAGAAAATATCGTGCCATGAATTTATTTTCTTTCTTGCCGTCTGTTTGGTGTCTGTTCAAACAAATGTGGGATGTGGAGAGGTGATGTGACACAGCATTATTCAAGATCCAGTTTGTTCCTGATGAATATTGATGGGACTGCTTCATGCCAGACAAACAGTGGACTCACGTCCACACAGCTAGACTACCAAATGAGACCAGTCTTTCATCTTCCTCTCACTCAGGGAAATCCACCAGAACTACCTGAGGAGCTGGTTCCTTGTGGACTTTGTGTCATCCATCCCTGTGGACTACATCTTCCTGATGGTGGACAGTCTGGACTCGGAGGTCTACAGGACAGCCCGGGCGCTGCGGATTGTCCGCTTCACTAAAATCCTTAGCCTGCTCCGGCTGCTCCGCCTGTCCCGACTTATCCGCTACATTCACCAGTGGGAGGAGGTGAGAAGTGGAGAAGAGGCATAGTTCAGATCATTTGACACAGGGTTCAATGAGAAAAAATATGAATAAAATACCTTATCTGTTGTCGACAGCTCTTTGAACAAGCTCAGTATGGAGAACTCATGTTTATTAATGAGCTAGCAACTAATCCAAGCATGGCCAAAACGTAAGTGGTTTGCTGTCGTCTTAAAGCAATAATCCCAAAAATGTTTATAATGGTTTATGCAAATGCTAATTTATAAAGATTAGATCACCATGAATTTCAAATTACACAGTTATTCTTGCAGTAAAATTACAAAATATTTGGCAAAAGCTCTAGAAATGCTACAGCTAGCTTCTAGCTTGATGCTGGCACTTGTGCTTGCAAAGATCTACAGAACTCTAAGTAAATAAGAGGATAATGCAACATTAAAGGTGATTCGTTCATTCAACCTTTATTTAAACAGGTTAGTGATGTACTGTACAAGTATTTTAAAAAATGGCATTTGCATGAATCACTAGGATAATTTTTTTGAATTGGAACTGTTATAATATGGCAGGAGTTCATTTTGGTCCTGGCCACGCTCAAAATAGCCCTTAGCTTAAAGTACCATCAGAAATAAGCAGCATTTCTCTGAATTGAGGCTGTTCAAAGAGATATCTACAGCAGGTAAGATATTAACTGTTCATATCCTTTCAACAGAACCCCACTTCATTATATCTAAAATATAGCTTCAAGGCATCAAAGTGCAGTTTATTTTTTGACAGTTTTTGTTATGTGTAGGCAAATGTTGCATGTAATGCTGCTGATGCAGATTGGACAAAATGTCACAAACAAAATAGTTCAAATCCTTTCTTGTACCTCCCTCTTAGATCTTCCATATGACCTACGACCTTGCCAGTGCCATGGTTAGGATAGTAAACTTGATCGGTATGATGCTCCTGTTGTGCCACTGGGATGGTTGCCTCCAGTTTCTGGTCCCCATGCTGCAGGACTTCCCTTCTGATTGCTGGGTTTCCAAGAACCTGATGGTGGTGAGTCTCCACCCAGGAGCCCATTGCAAGAGAGTTATTTTTAGTATATTTCAGCAGTTGGATTTGTAGAAGTAAATAAAACAGAACGCTCAGGCTGAGTTGAATAAATCACACAAAAGCTCTATCTAAGCTTGTTTAATCAATATTTATTTCAGAAGATGGAGGAGGACGCATTATGAAAGGAGCCGGTGTTGACTGTCTGAAGCCGTTTATCAGATGTGACACGGTTTCCCCCTTATCTTTGTTAATTGGCTTATGCAGCAGCATATCCAGCTGGAGTAAGATTGACTCTCACCGATACAAAAGTACATAAAAAAAATTCTAATTAAAAACCTCAACTGAGATCGGGTAGAGGTGTGAACGCATGCAAACAGTGGAAAGCTTGTGCGTGCAGGCTTGCAGCCATCCATGCAGTTGTATGAACAGCTGACTCATGTCTCGTTGGTTGCCACGAGTAACGGTTGCTAAGCAGACGGATGTTGGGTTTTTCCCCAGAGAAAGTCCCTTCATCCCTGGACCATTAACATCCCTTTATAATTGGACTCACACACAAAACTGAAGACACATGCACATATACACATACAGAGGCGATTTTTTTTTATAGTGCTAATTTTTTTGTTGTTTTTGTGGTTTATGTTTTATAGCTGCAATATTTTTGCTTCTTTGGTCATCAGATGTTGACATTTAAATTGCTCTGCAATTAATTGCAATGATCTGTGTTTTCTGAAGTTACATGCCCGAGTGCCTCTGACTAAATTAAGAACTTTTCTCAGTGTCTTATTAAATACCACTTTAATCTTGCTCCTGTCTGTGTCCACCCCCCCTGACAGAATGACACATGGGGCGTGCAGTACTCCTATGCTCTATTCAAAGCCATGAGCCATATGTTGTGTATTGGGTACGGCGCCCAGGCTCCTGAGGGGATGACTGATGTGTGGCTCACCATGCTCAGTATGATCGTTGGCGCCACCTGCTACGCCATGTTTATTGGCCACGCCACCGCTCTCATACAGTCACTGGACTCCTCACGACGGCAGTACCAAGAGAAGGTGAAGCATGGCTGTCATCCATCTAGCATGTCTAACCAATCTAATTATTTTTATGTCTAGATCTGCAGCTTCAGCTTCAGGTTGTTGGATTTCATTTAATCAGCCCATTGCAAAAAGAGTTCAAAGTTTTCTTCAGCCAAATATTGTTAATTTAAAGTACTTGGCAAATAGTTCAAAACATCCAATTGTTTTTATTCTTATTTTCCAAGAAGCCACATTTGTAATCTTTTATAGAGGTTTCGATCAGTAGATTTTTTTTAACTACTAATTGCTCAGAAATAATTTTTGCTTATTTTTATGAGGTTCTACTAGTCCCACGAGTCTGTAGTCAAGGCAAGGGTATTTAAAAATGCACTCTAAACAAGAGACAGGACAAAGTGGGGTCAATGGGCAGGGTTGCAAATGAGTGAAAATGCAGCCAGAGTTAAAAGAAAAATCAAAAGATTTCCAGAAAACATGGAGAAATATTGTTCAAGACCACCTTTAAAGAAATGATGTCTTATTTCCTGGAATCACGATAGAAAGAAGGAAGGACACACATAAAGGAAGTGAAATGATCAAATTTGAAAGAATTAATCGTGATAATAGTTATAGAAAAGTAAAATTATCACAGAGCAAAAGAGTAAATAAATCTAGGACTCCATATTAATTATTTATTTTTGTAAAAAATCTTTTGTATTTTCAAAAATGTGAAAAAGTGATGAATTCTAAAAAAAACATTTGTATTAATGATTTGTTAACAAACAGCAATGCCACTCCAGAAATTAAACCTTTTCCAACATTTCTCAGAAACCTATTGATGAGTTAGATTTTTTTTTGTAAGGTGTGTGACTAAACACAAGTTCGGGCATGAATCCTAGAAATAACAATGGTTACCATCAGAGGCTTTTATTTACTTCATGGCACTGCTTGTCGTACCTTGACACGTGCTTCATTCAGTTGCTAGCTTTTGTACATGCTGACTCCTTTTAAACTGTTTATTTTAGAAAGTTCACATAGTTTTGTAAAATATACATTGATATATAATAATATGTTAATTTGTTAAGCAGGTAACCAGTGGCGGTCCTAGCCTATTTGGCGCCCTGGGCGAGCAACCCCAATGGCGCCCCCCAGTTTGAGAACCACTGCTTTACAGCACCAACAATATATAACACTAGCTAGTAGTGGCTAGCAGTCTAGTTAGCTTCCTGTGATGCTAATGAATCATGATGCCAGTTGTTTTAGCTGATGCTCCGTGTGTTTTACTGCATCTACCTGTAGACAAACCAAACAAAACTCCGGTTCTTTAGTGGCGTCAACGTGTAACAGATTGAGAACATTACACAATAGCCACTAAATATACCAGAAAGCAGAAAATCTTTATTTTACTTGTAAATAAGACAAGTAGTCTTCTTTACACAGGTCCCTAATAATTGGTTTCCACTCACCAAGTATACAAATTAGAAAAATATCCCAGTTTGACTTTAAAAAGAATGTTCGCAGTGTGTACTCATGTTTCTGAGTCTAAGTCACATTTGTGTGAAAATGACAGTTTACCAACACGGTGCTGATGATTGCTGCAGTCTAACATTTTGCATTTCTCAGTGAAAACTGTTCTCTGTCTCTTTTAATGGGACAAAATATAAAAATAAAAATTGTTTCCCTTACAGATCCTTTAAGGGAGAAGAAAATTGGCAACTGACTAAATAAATAATTCAACAGCACAGTTTCCATCCAAAAATATTTGTACAGTCTGCACATCAACCAAAATGTATTTTGCATTCTCTCAAAGTGAATGTGTTTTTTTATGCCCATGTTATTGCAGTACAAGCAGGTGGAGCAGTATATGTCCTTTCATAAGCTTCCTGCAGACCTGCGACAAAAGATCCATGAGTATTACGAGCATCGCTTCCAGGGGAAAATGTTTGATGAGGAGAACATTCTGGGAGAGCTTAGTGAGCCACTGAAAGAGGTAATAAATTCATAAACACCCACTTTGTTGCTGCCTCTGGCACATCTATTTGACTTTTATTCCCTTCTCACTTCATATGCTATTTATTTTCATTTAGGAGATAGTCAGTTTCAACTGCCGGAGCCTGGTGGCCAACATGCCGCTGTTTGCCAACGCCGATCCCAACTTTGTAACTGCTGTGCTGACCAAGCTCCGCTTTGAGGTGTTTCAGCCAGCTGACTTTATCATACGTGAAGGAACGGTTGGACGCAAGATGTATTTCATTCAGCATGGACGAGTCAGTGTGCTGACCCGTGGCAACAAGGAAACCAAACTGAGTGACGGGTCTTACTTTGGGGGTGAGGACATTTCTCAGACTTTAAAGATCACCCACTTTTAAAGTAAAAGAAAATAAACAGTTCATTGTGTGGACTTTAGATGTCCCACAAACTCCCATGTGTCCTTATGCTTTTTCTTTCTGTCGTGGTCAGAGATCTGTTTGTTGACGCGTGGACGAAGAACAGCCAGCGTTCGTTCAGATACATACTGCCGTTTGTACTCGCTCAGCGTGGACAGCTTTAACGAGGTTTTGGAGGAACACCCAATGATGCGACGTGCCTTTGAAACTGTTGCTGTGGACCGTTTGGACCGTATTGGTAACTTGAATATTCTTGTTTGCTCCATTAATTGTTTGTTTTCCTTCTTTTTTTTAAATCAAGCTTTAAAAATTATAAATACTCGCAACTATCTATCTGGCTCTGTTGAATTCTCTAAGGCTTTTGTCAGAAACTGTCTTAAGCTGGTCAGGACTCAAGTGTAAAAAAAACAAAAACTGATTCAAAATGTTCTCAGTGAAAATTAATTTAACACAAAGTTTTTAATGTTTTGCACCTTAAATTTTGTTTTAAGATGTAAAATTTTGAACCAGTTCACAGTTTATTTTGGTTAAATTATCTGTGTTTCCCTCTCAGGAAGGAAGAACTCTATGCTGCTTCGGAAGTCGTCCCAAGTTGGCTCTCTTGGAGGTAGTATGGGTCGTGGTGGAGGCCGTGGTGGAGGTCCTGGAGGTGCAGGTGGCCTTGCGGCAGGCGGTTTGGGGTCCTGTGACAGCATGCTAGTGCAGCAGATTGTTAAACACGACAGCATGCCAGCCATGCAGGACACCATTGCAGCTGCTGCTGCAGGAAGAAGTGGTGTGATTGGAGGGAGTGGCACAGTGTCCCCTCGACCACGCCCTGTTATCTGGGCACCACTGGTCCATGCTCCGCTGCAGACTGCAGCTGCCACCAGTAATGTAGCCATTGCATTAATGCACCAGCAGCAGCAACAACAGCAGCAGCTTCAGCAGCTCCAGCAGCAGCATGCTCTTGCAGGAGGTTTCTTCCTGCCTTCACCTCTGATTTCCCCTTCTCCTTCATCCTCCTTTCCTCTCTCCTCTCCTCGTGCTCCTGTGCTACAACCCCTTCGCCCCTCTGTGAGCTCTCTTATTGGGATGATGACGATAGGAGGAATGAGTGGTTTGTCTCCAAGAGGATTTCCCATTTCCCCTTCGACTATGGGCCCACCAGGTGGGGTGACATCACCTCCAGTTGCTAAAACTCCACCAGCTCCAGCCTCATCTGTCCCAACTTCTGTTCAACAAGGACGGACTCTTCATTACGGTCCTCGCTTTCCGTCTGATCATTCCTCGTTACCTGCCGGAGCAGTTGTTATCCCGACAGGGGGAGGGCCAGCTTCACCACTTCACAAGGTACCAACCCCCACCCCACCTGCTTCTTCCAGTGGACCATCCGATGGGAATGCGTATCAGCAGGGTGCAAAAGAGGCTCTGCTACGTCATGGAGGAAACAGCGGTCAGGGTCTACCAGCATTGGGCAGACTCACCCAAGAGGCCAGGCTGATGTCGGCCTCTCAGCCCACTTTGCCTCATCGTTCCTGGGCTGCAGTGCAGTCTCATCCTCCTCTCCACCGGAAGGCATCTGGTGGGAATTTGTTGGCAACTCCTTTCCTTGCAGGACAGTTGGTCCAGGGCAGCAGTGCTGGCATACTGACCTCTAACCCTCCACTTCAGCTGTTGACAAATATACCATTTACTGCCCAAGTGCAAGCCACTGTTCCTATTCAGCCAACTGTAACACAGGCAGTTCCTGCAAACATAGCCCAGTACACACAATCTGCAGCTCATGCTGCCTCTGTACCTATACCTACAGCTGCACACATACCTTCTACACATGCATTGCCACCCTCCTCTCCTCCAAAACAGGCCTCACTATCCTCAGGCACTCCTTCATTTCCTTCATCTTTACTTTCCCAGACAACTTACCCAAAGCCAATCCCAACAACCCCTTCTCGCTCCTCCTCCCCTCCACCCTGCTCCACTCCACCTTCAGCGGGAGCCAGCCCGCTATCCACTCCTCGTCCCAAACCGATTCCCACACCCTCTCCTCGATCCTCCTCCCCTTCTCCATCCTCCACGCCTCCTTCTTCTTCTGTTTCAACCCCAGTTCCTCTGTCTCAACTCTATGGGCCCAGGTCATCTCTTACTTCCTCCTCTCCCCCATCCTCTTTGCTCTCCTCTTCTCCACCACATCCTCAGAGCCCCAGAGCAAAGGCATCCAACACCCCCCCTTCTGCCTCACCATTGTCTGGTCCCAGTCCTGCCCTGACCCCAGTTGCTTCACCAGCAATAACTCCCACCCAGACAACTCGTACCCGACCTTCCACTCCAACCCAGACAATCACGCCCGCCTCCTCTCCATCCCCTGTCCCTGCAACATTTGGCCCCTCTTTGAGTAAATCCCAGAGTCCGACACCTTGTCTCCAGTCCTCTGTCTCAAGCTCATCTAGAGGTCCCACCTCAAGCCAGACCCCAAAGCAAACCTCACCTCTTACTCCAAACCAAACTTCAACCTCTGCCTCCACACCTGTAACCACCAACACCCCAACAAAAGTTACTTTCTCTGTTCATCCTGTTAAACAAACCTCCCCTGTCCTTATTCAATGCTCCACTTCCAGTTCGAGCAGAACCACCCAAAAACTCCCATCAACACCTTCACCTTCAACAACTATTTGTCCAAATCCCACTTCCATTTCTACCCGCTCCTCCACTGCCACCACAACATCTGTTAGTGCTGCGTGTGCCTCCATTCAGACAACAAAACCAATTACACCCTCGACCTCTATTCAGTCCTCTCAGGCATCTACCACTGCACCCACCCAGACAGCACATTCAGCCAACTCCACCACACCTAAAGGTGGGAAACAGGACCCTCAGCTGACACTCACCAGAACAGACTCAGAAGGACTTAGGCACAAACTGCCAGCGAACATGTAAGAGGAAGAACATTTCACATGACTATAAAGTGATGAATAGCAGAGCCATGGATATGTAGACACCCGATGATCTCACATAAACAGTACATATAGGTCTTGAATTTACTCTAGGATGTGCTCGTCTTAGAATATCAGATGATATTCATCACGTGACTCTAAGCCAAACCATCGATCAAGGAGAAAGACTTCATGGGTCTGTTGAATGGATGGCACTCACTAAAGAGAGTCTATTAAACATCCACGTGTATACAGTACATACGTGTATCTGTGGTAGTGATTGTTGGAGCAAGCAAGGGAGCTGAAGTGGAAATATGCTGCGATATACAGTACTTACTGTACAAATTAAACCAGGACGGAAGCAAAGACCGGAGGTGTTGGAGTAGATTCTCCACAATCTAGCTCATTTTTATTTCTAGGTGCTCGAACAGAAAACAACTGGACTTCCTTTTCTGGTTCTTGACGATGTCGCCTTTCTTATTTAAAAGGCTTCTTCGGTTCTGAACGTGGGTTTGGTGTTTCAGATTTATATTATTATTGGCCATGAAAGGTGGAAGATCATTTAAGTGCCTGTGTTTGCCTGTATGTTAGCAAGATATTTATGAACCATTGAATGGATTTGAATGAGATTTTCAGACTTGAATGTGCATTTACAACAAGACTGTTTAAATTTTGTTGTGTAAGATGGTGAGTGACATGCGTTACTTTAAGGTATTTCCTTTAAATGTGAACTGGTAAGTTATAGTTGGGACAATCACACTGAAATGACTCACAGGATGGGCAGGTGAGTCAATGACTTTTGTGACTCCAACCTTTATCATGGTATAAACCTAAAACAAACCAGAAATAAAAAAAAAAAGCCTTTTGGAGGAAAAGTGACATGTCTTCGAGATTCAAGAAAGGAAGTCCTGATGCCTTTTATTTAAGCATTTAGGAATGAGTGAGTGTTAAAATGTTATTACACATTTTACTAATTAGCACCAGGAAATCCCTTTTATAAGGATTATAAACGTGATAAGACAAACCTATTTTGTTGTTGGGTAGAAAGTCCACTGTGATAAAATGCAGGCAATAGAACCAAGACTTCCTGGTTTCCAGCTCCAACTCCCTCTTGTCTCCCATTCTTCACCAAAGTGTAATATTTTCCTCATCAGAATAACAATAATTATAATAATACACCATTTTAAAAATCACTGTAAAGTTGATACTCATATGAATTTGAATAATTAGGAGCAGTTCACTGGTAGTTCTGTTGTTCCTGGCGTGTGGTGTTTAGTTTTTGAACGATACATAAATTTACATGTTCACTCTGAAGACTTCTGTAAATTGCTTTTCTATATGTGTGTGTTTGTGTGAACGAGAGAGAGAGACACACACACAAAACTGCTCTGCTGTGCACTGTGGCTCACATGTTTTAGTTCCACCCAGCTTCCTGTGTTGTGAATGTGTGCCTCTCTGTGGGTCTGTTCGTATGCTTCCTCACCCATCGGCCTCTTTGTCTTTTATCTTCCGTCTGTTTGGCTGCCTTTCATCTGATTTCGCAGCTAACTGTTTCTTTCTCTCCCCCGTTCTCTCGGTTTGCCCGACACTTTGCTTGCTGCTGTCATTCGCCTCATGTTCGAGCGGAGGTGTCCTCCTTCTGTCGCCCTTTGACAAGCGTTTCAGCACCACTTCTAGTAACGTTTGATGTTTTCAGTAGGTAGCAACAAGACATTTCTGTCTTAACACCTGATACCATGTTGCCTAGACTATATATGTATATACATATATTTAAGGACCAAATGTTTTATTTTTTATTCATCATAGCTTTAGCTTTTGAAAAAAGTAGCAAATGATGCAGTGAAAATGATGATCTTGAGTGTGGCAATAAGGATGATGTTGTGCTTGTATATTGATGATGAGGAGGGGATGATGATGTAAATTTAGATTATAAATAAAGTGGATTGAGATATCAACTTGTGTGTTCAGATTTATGCGTTGCTACGCTACCAATTCTTAATTTTTTTTTCATTCATCTGTTTACCCACGTCTTTGTATTTGCAGATGTTTGCTAATATTTTATGTTAGACTAGGTTGAAATTTCTTAGGAAGAGTTGCACTTTCACACTTGTTAAGTAGCATTTATGATAATCAATTATACCTTAAAGTGAAGTTTTGTGGAATAGTTATAATTAACATGTACATTTCTCTATGAATGACCTCAGTTTGAAGAAACAATTTATTTTTGACCAGATTGAGGAGCTACCAGTTAATCCAAAGACAGCTAAGGCCACAATCAAGGTTCAAGATTTTTGATTGCCATTCGTATCACATGTGGTACATGAGGTGGAACAAAATTGTGTACTCAAGGTCCCAGTTACACCCCAAAATAGCTAAAATATGAAGTATTAAAACAAACCGTATACAAGGATCTAAGATGTACGCTAAACACTAACAATGTAAAATAATATGTTATATTAAACAGCAGCCTGAACATGAGTCTGTTGTGAGCAGATGGGTATGAATGCAGCAGCTTAAAGGCAAGAGATCAGCAGCATGGATAAAGTGACACATCACCAATTAACGTGTCATGACAGTGATTTTTCTAGTTAGGGATTTGTGACTAACAGCCTCAGGGTAGAAGCTGTTCCTCAGCCTAGTGGTTCTGCACTTAATGCTTCTTAACCTCCTTCCTGAGGGAAGTGGGGCAAAAAGTGTGTGTGCTGGGTGAGTGGGGTCCTTCATGATGCAGGTGGCGCTGAAACATTTCAGCGCAAAAAAAAAACAGATGGCCTGACTGAAAATTGTTGGATTGTATACTTGGATTTTTGAGCATGGACTTGGTTGGTTTTGAACCATTTGACATGACTGTCGACGAGGGAGAGGGCCGGCACTGGAGGAGGGGGTGTGCCAAAGAGACCATCTTAGCACCAACATAACTGGTTTGTTCTACTTTGGAGCAAGCTGTTGGGGGAAAAATCGGTGTTGTGTTGTGTGTTTCCTTGACTGATGAAGCCTTCTGGATGGAAGGTGAAACGTTTCAAAAACAAAAAAAAAAGAAACTTTCCAGATGGCCTGACTGAAAATTGTTGGATTGTATACCTGGATTACTGAGCATGGACTTTGTTGGTAGTGTTCAATATTTTCCATGTCAGAATGAATTACATTGTCAGGTATCAGCCAAAAATTGGGTTATAAATATGGGATAAAAAATATAAATAAGTCGCTTTGCTGTATAAGTCGCAGGCATGCTAATTTATGCAAAAAAGGTGCAACTTAACCAGCAAAAATTGCAAGTGTATAGCAACAGCAGTAGAAGTAGCTGGCTGTAGCACTTCCAGTGCAGCAGGAATGTAATATTTCTGTCAGAATAAACAAGTAATGTAAAAGTGGTGGCAGTATAATGGTTTAACGTCAAATGTTTAACAAAATAAACGGATGATCGAGACTCAAAAATGCACCATGTTTCAGAAGATTATGTTTTACATTTTAAAAGTAGCTGACAGCAACAAGAAGTGACAAAAGATATATGTAGAAGTGTCACCCATGCTCTGCTGTAGAAAGTGCACCTTTTGAAAGATCGTGTGTTGCTGTCATTTCACTAAAATTACACCCCGATTACAAATTTTCCTTCTACTCTGGGAGGATTCTCAGCGTGGATTTTGAGCTCACTGAGCACCACTTGAGACTTGAATGTGACCCGGTGACTCAGACTTCCACTCCTAGATGATCTCTGAGGATTGCAGATTTTTTTCTGACACAGCTACTGCTGCAGTGCAATGAAACAACTTCCTGTGTGAGTTAATGAAACTTGTCCTCCCTTCCATCCTCGACTCTGCTGCCCCTGCTGCCTCCACCCAAATCCTCAGCAGAGGGCAGACTCACTCATTCAAGGTGAAGACTGTAAATGTAGAGACACTTAAGTCTCTGCTGCTCTTGAATGAAATTAAATCAATCTTCAAGAGAGCAGATTACATCTCCCTGCCTTGTCTATCATTCTCATTCTTGAGGTTTTGAGCAGCTTTTCTCCACAACGCAAGCTTTAATTACAGAATTATTTTGCACAACTTTTATTTAAAAATTAATCAGCATAATGAAATTTAACTTGTTAGTACATACAGTGTGTTTGAACACCTCCTGCTGAGTCACAGAAGGCAGCAAAATGGTGTCATTAAATGGAGCATTACTGTGTAAATATTTATTAACAGAGTCAGAGTTTCTTAAATTGTCATTCGCACCACATGTGGTACATGTGGTGGAATGAAATTGTGTACACAGAGTTCCAGTTACATCCCACAATAAAATGTAAAAAGAAAAACGGTAATATGATCTAAGATATGAACCAAGAAAAAGGCCAACTAAAAATATGCTAAGCACTAAAAGCATAAAAACAATACACCAAACAGCAGCACGAACATGAGTCTGTGTGAGCTGATGAGCATGAAGAACACAGCAACATGAAACAGATCAGCAGCAACATGAAACAGATCAGCAGCAACATGATGTGATTTTTCACAGTGATTATTCTGGTTAGAGATTCATGAGTCTAACAGCTTCAGGGTAGAAGCTGTTCCTCAGTCTAGTGGTTCTACACTTAATGCTCCTTAACCTCCTGCCCGAGGGGAGCAGGGCAAAAAGTGTATGTGCTGGGTGAGTGGGGTCCTTCATGATGCAGGTGGCCCTCTTCCTGCATCTGGAGGTGTAGATGTCTGTGATGGTGGGGAGGCTGACTCCAACAGACTTCTGTGCAGCCTTCACCACTCTCTGCAAAGCTTTTCTTTCTGCAGCTGTGCAGCCTCCATGCCACACATTGATGTTGGAGCATACATGTAATACCAAATGTTTGATAGCATTCACCCTTTAATTGACTGTTTAAAAGAGAGGAACACTGTAAAAATGTTGTTTTAACAATAAAAAAGTGTTTTTAAACAGTTCTTTACAATCAAACAATGTGCAATGAGTTGCTGTAAGGTCATTGTATGTACTGTTTCTGCAACATCACTGTACATTTTTATCTCCTGCAGTAATGTTGCTGTAAATATACAAATATTCTAAAACAAATATTGGGCTTCTGTACATCAGAATACAGTAATGCTGACTTAGTGTAAAAAAACAAAAACATAACAAACAACAAACCCACAGCAGTCCATATTAAAGTTAATGACTCCCCATGGTTTAAGTGCTATTGTTGAGGTTTACAGTCATTTTACCATCAAATAAAACAATAGTTTCTGGATAGCATTAGTTATAGGCACATTCCTGTGCCTATAACTATATGTTCAGGGTGCAGAATTAGAGCACAAACTCTCAGGACTGCAGGATGAACAGTGGCCACTAGAGGGCGATGTTACTTCAATAATCACACAAACACAGCAGGAAACGGAGATTGTAGAGAGAGTACAAGTTTTATTGCTTACAGAACAAAACTCGAGAATGAAATAAATTTTAAAAACACCCAGAATGAAGTGAGTAATACTAGTTGAATCATTAAAGTGAAGAGGAGAGAGCAAGTCAGTAAGGCAGTGTGTAAGAGGTTAATGATTGCAGGACCAGCCTGGATTACCTGCCATGAATAGAGGTGGGGGGATAAACAGGACATGTAATTGCTGCCTGTCACTCATGGCTCTGAAATAGACACACACACAGAAAGAAGGCTTTACTCTCTGGGAACTAAATAGACCACCAGGAAGAAGCTAAATGTGTTTCCCCTCAGTGTGGTGAGAAATACAGTCAGTCCACAGACAGACAGCAGGATTCTTCAGTCTGCTCATCTCTCAGGTTGCATCTGCTGCTGCAGGTTCAACCACAGCCTGATGTTAACTCCTCCACACCGTTTAACCGGAGAGATTTTAAAAGACTTTGCAGATCAAAGTGTACAAATTTCCCCTAGAGTGCAAAAGTATTGGATGAACTAAACATTATAACTTTTTACCAGTAAGACTTCACATTCACAGGGACATTAAACCTGTGTTGGATTTGTATCTATGTTAATACTTTTAATTAGGCTAGAATTCATTTTAACTATACCTACAATTATTTATAAGCACTGAAACATCTTTTGAAAACCCCACACAGACTGACATCATGAGCGGTCTGTGATGCTGAAGTGAGAAGGAAAACAGTTTTTAGTAAATATGAGCTTTGTACTAAGTGAAAGTTTAGATTAAAAACAATCAAATACTTCTTCATTTATTAAACTTGTGGTGTTACAGAATCACAGAACCTTCCAGTGTGATGCTAGTATAGTTTCATTTGTATACATTTTATTAGTTTAGCTTTATAAATATCTTAAATCTAAATTAGCATATTATAATCCCATTTTAGATCATTGGAAACAAGTAAAACTTATAAATATCATACCATCAAATAAAATAATCCAATGCCAGGTCTCTTGTAAATGAGTCCTCGAGGCTCAATGAGATTAACCTGTATAAATAAAGGTTGAATGTGTTTAAATTGACTTAGATAAAAATGCCATTCTTGTTGCCAATAAAGTGCTTTTTAAAGTGCCAACATTAGACACACCACTTCCTGTTTTTAAATTTCTGTTAAAAGCACATTTGTTTATCTGGCTTTTAACACAGCGTGATTTAATTTAGTATTTTATTGTTCCCTGTTTTTATCCAACAAAGTTCAGTCAGGTCATCTGGACGGTTTCTTTTTTATTGTTGAGGCGTTTCGTCCTTCATCCAAAGGACTTCGTCAGTCTCAGGAGCCACAACAAACTGAGTCCCACAAGCAGCACACTCACATGGTGGACCAACCAGTTTGCTGGTGATAAGATGGTTTCTGGGGCCTGCCCTCTCCCCTGTCGACTCCTCTGAGGCAGCCATGGCAAAAGTGGTTCAAAACATCAAAGTTGGATGAAGGAGGAAACGTCTCAACAACAAAAAAGAAACTGTCCAGATGACCTGACTGAACTTTGTTGGATTTTCTACCTGGATTATTGAGCATGAACTTTGGTCTGTGTTTTTATGTTTATCTTTTGATGCTTTTAATTAATTTTTGGTATTATTTTTTCATTAAATTACTGCCATTCATTTTCGATTGTTAAGCACTTTGGTAACAGCTGCTGTTTGAAAATGTGCTTTATAAATAAATTTGATTTGACTTGCTTTTTCAGTCAACTAAAAAAAAAATTAAAAAAAAAATCACACAAAGAACCCATAATGTGTTAATTAAAACTTTACATACAAGGAAAAAGGTTAAAAATGTTACAATTATTTGTATCCAATTAAACATTTCTTTACAAATGAAACAAGTGAAACATAAAATTAAAATCATTACCGTATTTCTGTATCAGCATCAGTTGTCTTGATCTTGAGCCGTGAAACATCATTGGATTGGGACCCTTCCGATGATCTTTCACGGCCTTGTTTGGAGCCCCCACCCTGAAGTTGGGAACCATAACACATAAACTGGAAAAATAAAGGTGCACCGATGACGTGTTTGCTGCGCGTGTAGACTATAAGTTCTTATTCTGGTAGCACAACCACAGAACAAGCAGAGATTTAGGGTTTGGGGGGGTGGCGATAGGTGGGCTGTTTGAGCTCACCACAAATTATATATAGACTTCCTGCTCCCTCACTGCAAAACCCACCACACACACGCTTGTCTTTCTATCTTTACAGGGACTTTGCATTGACTTCCATTCATTTTTCATTCATTTCTATAGCATAACCCTGACCTTTACCCTAAACCCAACCCCTAACCCGCCAACCACACTTGAACCTTATGGACCAGGCTTTGGTCCCCACAAAGAGCAGCTGGTCCTCACAATGTAGTGTTGAAGAATGGGCCTCACAAAGTATCATAAACAAGCACACACACACACAGCAGGAGCTGAGACAGGATGATACAGAAGCTTTGAGAAGCAGGTGATTCCCATAACCACTTCAAAAACAAAGGTCTGTGATTTCTTCAAAGTCAACTTGTTTTAGGCAGAGAAATGAAAAGAGTTGAGGCTTCTGTCACATTTCAGGTTCCCTGAGTGAGAGCGAGCTGCAGCTGCTGCTGCTGCTGCTGCTGCTCATCAAACTACGACCTGCCTCTTTTCTTAAGTGATTCATAAAAAGCTTGTGTTGAAAAGTCCCTTCATGCCGCCACTCTGGATGCGCTGCATCCTCTTTAAGTTTCATTTATCACACTTTGTTTCCGTTTCAAACCTTCACCCCCACCCCGCTCTGAGATCTGCCACTTCTCCATCCTGGGTCACCTCCAGGTGGGACCCCGCTGAGTCATGAGGAGGTGCTGGAGGAGAGGGGGTGGTGCTCCACCTGACAGGTATAATCCGCTTTTACGCGCCGGCCCACCTCTGCGCAGTGATGCCCCACAGGAGGAGGAGGAGGAGGGCCACAGCCTCCCCCACCTCTCCCCTCCTGCTGCGGACTGGCACGGCTGCCAGCCTATCGGACCACAGTCGGACCCCGTCCATCCTCACGTCCTCCCTCCCCCGCGCCCTGCCCACCCCCTCGGCGGTCTCCTCTCTCCGGCGGCCCCGCCAGAGCCAATCCGAGCGGGCGTTAAGTAGGACAAGCCGCTTCCTGGTTCTCAGAAAGGAGGAGCTGGGAGTCGCAGCAGTGGGCGAGCGGAGGCTGAAGGTACGCGGGGGGGTCAGAGCGGCCCAGAGCGACGCAGAGAACCGGAGGACCAACATTTGTCCAAGTAGAACCCCCTCCCTCCCTGTGAAGAGAGGCCGACCCCCCACCTCCCGGCTGGAGAAGGAGTCAAGTGCCGAGGGGAGACATTTAAGACGTCGGCAGGGTGGGACGGATAATCCAGGAAGTGTGGAGGCTGGTCAGGTGGGAGGCGGCGAGTCGGGACAGGTGACACACCGGCACTCAGGTAACTCGCTGCTTCTTCTCGAAACGGAACAAAAACATTAAAAAAAAAAAACAACTTAACGTAAACATGTGCGTTTTGTCGCGATATTCTGCTCTCCCTCCTTCCTGTTGGGGTCACAGGAGGACTATCCACGTCACTTTATATTCTTACTCTCGACATGTACCTGTTCTGCGCATTTTACCTTTAATACCCTAAAATTAAACGACCGGGTGGGGGGGTTGACTTAAGGTGGCGCGCGGGCGGTGCTTGTTTGAGCGTCAGGTGAGCGGGGTCGCCGGGTCCACTTTTGAAGACACTGCTGCTAATTATAGCCGAGAACACCGGCTGACATCCAAAACCTAACCTGCTCTCTCCCTCTCTCTTTCTCTCACGCACATCACCTGCCTGCGCATGCGCGTGCGGGGCAGTCGGGTCAGGATCTACTGGATTTAGCCTCTAAATGATTCTGCCTTCAGTGGTCTGTTAATCATCATTATCATCTTCATCCTGCCCATGGCGCACCCAGTGTTTTGTTTTAATCCATGTGTTACAATGGGATGTAATGGTAGGCTTGTCTGTCTGCATCATGGGTGGGGATTTGCTGTCAAACCAGTGGGCTTGTGTGTGTGTGTGTGTGTCATTATAAAGGTACTAGATGTGTTGCTGACTCGCCCCTCTGACAGGACCGGCCTGACAAGCTCAACTCGTTTGGGTTTGGTTTCCCATCTTGGTCACAACTCGTTTAGTTAAATCTTTAGGCGTCTGTGCAGACGGCAGCGAGGGTTTTTCTCGTTTGCTCACCTTGCGGGGTTAGTCTGGAGAAATGATCGTTTTTAGTTGCGAGTAAAGTCAAGTACGTTGTTTAATTTGTTCTCACCTGCCACCATCATCACGGTGATTCCAGGGGCCCTCTCAAACTGGGAGGCCGGATTCAAGATGGCCGCCACGGCTGATGGAAGTGGGTTTGAGCTCATAGTGTGGTCATCATCCCGAACACATACGCCCAAGTGCTAATAAACCTTGAAATATATTTGGCTAAAAGTTGAAATAAACAATAGAGCCAACCGTCTGTTAGCAAAATATCTCAGGATCCACTAGATGGATTTTAATGGCACTCCCAGAAAGTAATTATCATCCATGCTTCGACAACTGAATAACTTTTTGGATTCAAGATGAACATCGGAGCTAATCAAAATGAGCCAACACTAAAGTAGCTGTAACCCAGTCAATTTTACAGACATTCAGCTAAAATGTGGTGTGGTAGTAGCCAAAGGTCGACCTGAACAGATACTCTTGGACACTACAGATTTGGTGAGATATTAGTTTAAACTTTGGTATTAACCATGTCTGTTTACTAGCTAAATATATCTCGAAACACTACATATTTTGACGAGATCTTAAAGTATTCATTGGACGTACATCTGTAACGGAGTACCTTTTTGTGTCAGCCTGAATCAAGATGGCTGCCATAGCTCATCACCATTAGCCGACACAGAAATGGCTTTAAAGAAGTCAACAGCTAAACCTTTGATTGGTAATGGCTGCGCCTCATCCCCAGCATGTGAGGTTAACAAATTATGATGGTCTTGGTTTAAAACCCTGACATAAAAGGCGTTGGGCGAGGGATTAAAGGCCTTTTAAATGTTTTATTTGGCCTTATCAGCCCCATCATCATGTCACAGGACATATCCAGCGCTGCCTCTCTCAAACTGGGATTCACACTCATGGAAAATATATGATTTTGTATCAAATTCTTAAATTTCAGCTTGTTTCGTCGCCCTGTGATGCTGCTGTCTCGACCTGACCTCCATCTTGTTTTGTTGTCCGCTGGCCTACTTCTTGTACTTGTTTCCCCCTAACACAGCGGTTCCCAAAGTTGGAGTCGTTACCCTCAAGGTGGGTCACAAAACCCCAAGTGGGGGTCCCGAGATAATCTTTCGATTAGAGTCCGACCGATATATTGGTAGGGCCAATATTTTAGGCCAATATAGGCATTTGGGGACATATCGTATTGGTGATAAATGTCCCATTGCGTACCGATATAAACACTTCTAATTTTCACCACTAAAATACCGGGAACGGGCATTTCTTTGTTTAATTTATACATTTGTAACACACTTGATAACTTTCTGGTGACTAGTGGAGGATAGAAAATCTGAATGCACAGGAAGACCGTTTTAAGCCTTCAAGTGTTAAAACAGGTTTAAATGTAGCTGTTTACTTAGATTCTTAGGGGTAGACAAAGCTAAAAAAATTCCAGCCAGTATATCAGTTATCGGCACAAGTCTTCCCCTCCCAATATTGGTATCAGCGATGGCCAATATTTCCATATCGGTCGAGCTTTGCTTTAGATATCAGTTAACATTTACAAAAAGACCACTGATGGCCGATTTTCACCAAACAGGGGGGAAAAGTAGTCATAAATATTGAGAATGAGTAAAATTTTATGTTTTAACATGTCTACAGTTAATTGGGTTATTAGCCATTTTATATTTCTTTATATATGTAAACCAGCAATAGATGGAGTCTCAAGCCTTTGTCTCAAGCAATTTGTGGGTTGAGAACTAAAAACTTTGGGGACCTCTCTTCTAACCGCCATCATCACCATGAGTTTACAAAGATTATGCACACACCAGAATTCAAGAACCTCTGTCTTGTTGAAGCTCCAAAATTCACGGTTGAAACCCGTGCCTTTGTGTAAAAAGTTGTTTTTCTCTGCAAAAAGAATCTGAGAACTTGTTTACCGATGTTTTATTTTTATTTTTATTAAAAGCTTTGTGTGGAAAAGTGCTATGCTAAAGAGCTCAAACCACACCGAGTGTCCACCATTTTGAGAGCGGAAGAAAGGAAGGAGAGACAGCCCATGTCACGTCAAGGGGCCTCCCTCCCATTTTTCTTAAAGAGACTTCGCTCACCCACTATCCATCCTTCCGTTCAAACAGTCCAGTGGTCAAAAAAGGTACTACACGCAAAATAAATTTACCAACATTTCTTCTTCAATTTAAACAATATTATTGTTTATTGAAATAATTTCTGAGACAATTAATCGCCCAGCAAAATTTGTTATCGTGACAGGCCTAGTTTCAACAAAGAAGAATCCGCCCAGAGGACCTGACTCAACCTTGTTAGATTTATCTACCTGGATTATTGAGCATTCTTGAGGACATGCATTCACTTACAGCTTTTCAGTGTTTCGGAGCCAGCAACTCGACGTGGGGTTTAATAATAATGCTGATCTCAGAGAAATGTGCACGTATGTTTGCGTGTGGGCTTTCCCAAACTCTGTTATTATTCGAGCACGTCTGTTCTAAACACCTCAAAATAGGAAGCAGTTGGTTTCTGTCTGTGTTTTACAAGAACCCTTTGATAAAAGGGATGCGTCATACGAGTGGGTGTGTGATATTATCCATGTACATCTTTCGCAAACCTTGTACATATTTTACAAAACGAATATGAAACAAGTGTTTAAGTTAGTAAGTGCTTTCAGAATATTGGTTAGTCAGCTTCTTTGGGGGGTGCTAGATGTAAATTCCTATAAATTCAATGTGCTTCCTCTTCCATCAGCTTTATGACCTCTGACTAAAGGACCAAAGAGGAGACAGACACAAGTCACCCATCGTCTCTTGGGTTTATGGACTGGAGGTAAGAATCTTAAATAATTTTAATAGACCTACACATTACACCTCAAATATGAACACTAGGTGAGTTGTTTGTCTTGGCTTTTTCTTGTAACTTTGCCTTCACAAAATATTAAAACGTGTTGATGTGTATTGGGACAAAGTTTAGCCTAAAAGTCTTTACCCCATTGAGGGTTTTGAAAAGATCTCCAAAACTAAATATAAATTGAAAAAAATACCACATTATCCACATTATTAGGGTACACTTGTTACAGGAGATAAAGACATCAGTCACTGGGTCGTTGAGATGGTTTGTTTTCTTATGTCCTTTAATTTGCTTACTTTGCGTATTTTAACCAGTGGATTTAAGTGTCAGAGCTCTGTTACTGTTTTCTGAGGCTAAAGCTAAAACATTTGTGACCCAGAGCTTTAAATATGTGCCACTTTGCCATAACTGAGGGCCAAGGGTTTATTCATGGTGGTGCGTCTTTATTGCTTATTTATTTATTTATTTATTACATACGAGCAAAATAAACTGTCAATCAACTATATGATTATGCACAAAAAAAAAAATGTCCCTGTATATAATATTTGGTGAGACTGAAACAGCCAGAGTTTCTGTTTTTTAACAGATGTAAGGAACCGGTCTCCTCTGGTCTGGTCTCTCTTTTTAGACCCGGTCTCTTTTCGGGCTAGTTTCAACTACAACCCAAGCTACTTGGACTTGTCAGCTGATTGGTCATAAATAAGGAAATGCGAGGAAGATGTTTATTTCTTTTGCTTGAGCCAAACTAGGCTCAAAGATGAATAAGTTACATGGTGATGCATATAGATGGGAACAAAAGGACTACTGGACTACAAACGACGCTCTTCAGGTGGGTTACGAGTGTTCTGCGGGAAACAATAAATCCACCGAGGTTAGACTTTGGCCTAAAAGCATGTTGACTTTTACTGAAAAAGATTTTCACATCTTTTGAAGTAGGGTCCTGTGGAAAGATTATGAACAGTTAATATCTTACCTGTCACAGGTAGCTCTTTGAGCAGCCTTAGTTTGGAGAATACAGTTTAGTTTTGACTGGACTGATAAGCTAGCATTTAATCTGAGCGAGGCCAAGGCAAGATTAAAAAAGCATCAGAACTGTTTGCACAAAAACAATTTAACTTTCACAACATTTTGAAAATTATATATATTTTTTTTTAACAAAAAATTTTGTGGTTATTTACAGGTTGTAACAACCTGCAGTATATAAATAAATATATTTCTTTAAAAATAATCATATGAGGCTAAATTGATTGCAATGTAAATGTTTATAAAGTAGTGTTTGCATGAACCACTATGAAATTTTTGAGAATGGGGTTTGTTTTTAAGATGGCAGCAATCCAATTTCATCCTGACCCTGCTCAGATTACCTGTCAATCTAACCAAAATAAAACTTATTGTTCAAACTGAAGTTGTTCAATAAGCTATCTGCAACAGGTAAGATATTGTTTATAACCTCTCTGTAGAACTTCACTTGAAAAGACCGGAACTATTCTTTTAAAAAAAGATAAGCCTAATAATAGAATGCAAATTAAACAGAATTTATTTAGTCAAATGGAGATTATTGTACATATTTTAAAAATGTTATTTCACAAAAGTATCCATGTTAAAAAAAAAAAAACTACTTTAAATTGAGGTTTAAACTCTCACACAAAAGTAATTATATAATATGTTTTAAATGTATGGCAGCACGATGGATTAGTGGTTATTACTGCTGCCTCACAGTAAGAAGGTCCTGGGTTTAAGCCCAGGGTTGGGCTTTCTGTGTGAAGTGTGCACGTTCTCCTCGTGTTGCGTGGCTTTTGTTCGGTTTCCTCCCACAGTCCAAAAAACATACATGTTTATGCTGCCTTCAGGTCCAGGCCTCCTTTAAAAAGGATTGTGGTCTCAATGGGATTTGACTGGTTAAATAAAGATTAAATAAATAAAAATATCAGTTTGTAACTTTTTTATTTTAAATAACTTGAAAACCTCTTTTAGTTTCCATCCAAACCAGTTAGCACCTGTGCATTACCACAAAATACTACTTCAATCAATCCCCGTAGAAGTAGAAACCATCTAAAAATGATTGTCGGTACATTTCCAGTCCTCTATCTGATTCAAACTGGTTACAGTCAGAGCTTGACTATCACTTCCCTGATACGTCTTCGGGCTCTTCACCGACACGTTCTGTGCTCCTTTCACTCCGTTTACACCACAAACAGTTTGTGGGGGCCAAACTTTGACAAACGCTGGTCCTCGCATGAGGGGAGGAGCCTCTCGAAGACGTCCCCGTCCTTGGAGCAAAATATGAGCTGAATAAAGTGGTCAAGCGGCTGAATATTTTATAGGCAAGCTGGAAGTTAACTCCTCTGTGGTTTGTCGGCCGCAGTCGTTCTGTAACTCCTACTGGCTTTTTAAGATGGCTCGTAATGCCAGAAAATAAACTGACCATATTCATTTTTTGTTAAATGAACAATAACGAGCTTGTGAGGAGCAGATTAACTTTACATACAGTGATGTAGCTCAAGTCCGCTATCAAGGATCCACTTAATGAAATTAAATTCTCTTATCTTAAATGTATATTCAAATTTGCTTCAATATTTCCAACTTGAAATCTATACATCTACTTTTAGGCACATCATTCTATAAAAAATATTATACAAACACAAATTATTTTTTAAATTATGTTTTTATCGCTTAATACAATCCACAGATGTTATTGTGCTAATCAAGGCATCATATTTGATGAAAGTAACCTGAAAACGACAAACATGCCACAAAGACTGAACCTTGCTGTGAAAGAAACAAGTGGTACGCTGATGTCCCCCGTCGCTAAACGATTTTAATAGTCAATGTTTGTAGTTTGCCTTTAATGTTTTTGGTGCAAGATATTTAAGTGAGTGGGAGTTACGCTGTAGAATAACAGAGGTTTTTAAATTTTTCTTGTCTGAGGCAGCGCTGAGTGGTAAATCCAGGTGAGCGGAGGGAGCAATTTTATCCACTACCAGGTGCAATGGCGGAGCCAGGGGGTGGTTAATGGTGCCCTTGGCCACCATTGATTAATTTTTAGCCACCCCAATCATTTGTGGAAACTATATTTTTATATTTATTTTAATATAAAACCGAGAAACCATATTTTCCTCAAGTGATAGGGGTGGCCAGTTTACAAATATGGTGGTAGCCATCTTGGATTTTGACATGGCAACAACAATTTTGAAAGGAACTATTCTTGTGCCTAGATGCATCCACACACAAAAATGTAAGTCTGTACATCATCTTGTTGCATTTTATTGCACTCGCAACATTCACGGGCTGACGGAGGGCTTTTCCAATTCCCCCTTTTTGCTCTGTGACGGGAGACAACAAGGAGAAAGTATATCTCAACCACTGACGCTGTAAACATGGAGAGATTAGGAGTATCTAATCACTTCTTTGTAGTTTCTGCATGCAAATAACTTGTTTCTGTGAAAATATAATAAATGACTGTAATAAAAGCAAGAACTTAATCAGAGTGTTGATCTTTGCAGTTGAATCAAGTCAAATTTTTGTGCATTTTGTGCAACACTTTTAATTGATATTGTACAAATATGTACTTATAGACCATCCTGTGTTGGGTTAGAACATGAAAAATAAACTTTATTTTCATGTGTATTTAACTCGCAACATTAAAGTGTGTGTTTGCGTGCACAGAATAAAAAATTAGCTAGTTAAACGTTTTAAATGTTTAAAGATTCTCCACCATTCATGAGGCCTTCTTCTACTTCTGTTGTTTGTTTGACACATTTGGGTTGGGTCAACTAATCTGGGTCTAATCTATCAGGGCTGTTTCATAGATTATGTTGCCCAACTGTAATTGACTACGTTGAAACAGAATTGCTAAACGCTGAAAGAAGAGCGTGCAACTCTGGGGAATTTCATTTCTTCATGTATGTTGGTCACCAAATCAAACTCAAGATTATTTTTTTTGTTGTTGAGCAGAATTCTGTTTAAACTTGAGGATTTAGCAACTTTTTGTGTGTCTGTGGTGGTCAGACTTGTGTGACCAATCACAAGACCATGGCTCTGCAACACTGGTGACAACCATGTGTCCGTAAGCGGTGGCTAAAGGGAAGTGACACTGAGTGGTCTGTCAGGGGGAGAAGCGTGCACGCAGACGCACACATGCAAACATACGTGCACACGATTCCAGGAAATGCTCTTAATTAGGCCATGTAAGCCCATATAAATTCCCCCTTTTCAGACACGGGTCTTTCAGTTTCACACAGGCTGAGTGAGTGGGAGGAAGGTGGGAGAAAGGAGGTTGAACGGGGGAGGAGGAATGGGAGATGAAAGAAATCGCTTCTTTTGTTGGTTTTCGCCCCAAAAGTTGAAGTCGTCTCACCGTTTGTGTTGTCTTATTTCATCTCCTGCCACATCAGTTATTCCAAGAAAATCTCCCGGGTCTTCCTCTGAATTGTATTGATGCACAAATAATGAGAAATTACACCTCAGCAGCTCGACTGATGTGTCACCGTCTGCATGAAGGTCATGGTGGCTCATCAGGGGTTTGATGTGCGAACGCCCTCACAAGGAAGCCGCTGTGGGAATGACACGAATCAGGATTTTCATGTGAAAACGTTTTCTAGCAGGTCTTTCTTTTTCTTCTTCTTGTTTTCACCATATCTGTCGGTTGTTTCTTCACGTTTAAGCAAATGGCCCAAGGGTGACTACACGCAGTCCAGACTGCTGCTGGAGCTGAGTCTTGCCCCCACTCATTCTGTGTCAATAGAGGAAGTTATGCATCTTCCATTTCCTCTTTTCAGTCATGAGTTTCTGTAACATTTGACAGCCCTCCCTTGCTCTCGACCACCAGCCTCACAGCCCACGCCGCCCAAGGGTTAACCAGTCGGCAGGTGGCCGCGACTCCTCTTCTTGTAAAGCTTTAGAAAAAGCAACGAAGAGAAATGGTAAACAGAAAACCATGAAAAAAAAAAAGAAGAGCTACAGGCTGAAGGAGTGACAGT